GTTTAAAGCATAAATTTGCACAGTTTTTTTTCCTATATTTATTTACTTTCGCTTTTTTTTCAACAAAAAAACTTTTAAAAAAGAAAAAAAAACAAAAAAAAAAACGTCTTCTACATTTCCTTCTTTTTTTTTGGCCTCTAAAGTTATAGCTGTAAATGCTAATCATCAGTTCAGTTCAAAACTTTACAATAGTTCATCTTAATAGTTGAAAAAAAAAACAGAAAATGTTTTTCTTCACTTTCATCTTTCAACAATTTTTTTTTCTTTTTTTTTTTGCCCAGCTGTTGCTTTTGAAGAAAATAAAAAACAGATAAAAGAATGAAATATAGGAGAGAGAGAGACAGAGAGGTGGGAAAGAGAAAAAAAGAAGAAAAATAGAAATGTGGAACAAAGAGTTAAAGTTAGAAGAAGAAGAAGAAGAAGAAAAAAGACATTGTGTAAAAAGCAGCAATTGGATACATACCGAAGAAACCGGAAAGGCAATTTACCCAGCCTTCGTTTGACAGCACTACGAACTTCGCCACTTAAGAAGCAATAGAGAACAGCAATAAAAATCCCCTAAAAAATTGCACAAATTAATCGGAAGTAACTGCCAAAACAAAGTTCAAAGTTGTAAAATTGATAAAGAAAATAAAAAATAAGAAGAAAGAACAAAATATATATATATATATCTATATATAGATTCTGTGCAATATATCGATATGCATATACCCATCTTGTTATTGAAAATGTTCTTTCGACTTCAGATAAAACTAACTTATATTAAGAAAAAAAAAAAGAAATCATTTGTTAGTTGAAAAATATCGGTGTAAAACAATTTGCTGTGAAAAGAAAAATTAAAAAAAAACTGTTTTATTGTTTGCAGTTCTTTTTTTTTTTTTTTCTCCATCTATTTATCAGTTTTGTTGAGAACAAAAAAAGAAGCAGAACAACTTTCTGTTTACCTGTGAATGTTGCAAAACTGCTGAAACCAACATATATGCATTGCCGACACCTTCTGGTTCATAGAATAACGGTATGTTTGATACACCGAGCAATGGTACCAACAATAAAGTTGCTTTAATTGTCTTCCTAAATTCATTAAAATTTCTCTCTCTTTCTAACAACAACAAAAAAATTAGAGAGAAAAAAAAAGAAAAAGCAGCTAAAAATAAAGATTATTTTATTCAACTGTTTTAACTTCAAATTATTTTTTAGTTTACTGCTACAATAATTGTCAAAACAACCAAAAAAAACATTGCTAAAAAATATGTTTATTATAACGAAATAACTCTTCTTTTTTTTTAATTTTCATACTTTTTTTTGGTTATTTGGTTTTTTTTT